TAGCAGGTGGAGGAGGATCCAGGAGGCGGAAGCGAGTGAACCCACGTAACCCGCCTGGTCGAGAGCAAGTTCGGTGACTTGACTCATCGTTGAAATAACGAGGTCGCATCGAAACCCACATGTGAATTTGTCGCTGAAGAGGTTGTCGCATGGCTGAAGAGAAGAACAGTGTGTTAGAGAGAGAAGAGAGAATGGTGTCTATGTGTGGCTGGTCTGTGTTGGGTTTGTCCGGCGGGCGGCCAAGGCGAGATTGCCGCCCGCCGGTGGAACGAAAATATTAGGTTCTTAACCTAGCTCTGATACCATGTAAAATAAATTGATGTATTATTATTGATTGATATGTATATTGTATTTGATAATTCTGTCTATTACAAATGGTTCCTTATATAGATGTAGGTGTAGTGGAGTAGGTGGTGGTAGGTGAGGAGTAGGTGAGTGTGTGGTAGGTGATGGTAAGTGTGTGGTAGGTGATGGTATCTCTTTGCATTTTTCCCACTAGACACGCTTGGGACACGTTGTGGATACGTTAGAGACAAAGAGAGAGAAACTCTAACTCGTTGAATACAGAGAAAGAGAAAGGATGAAGAAAAACTTTTTGAAGCCCTAAATCAAGCTATGTTTTCGAATCTTTCCTCGTTTCTTCAAATCTACTATTTGTTCTTCTTTTCTTCTTCATTTTTCTTCTTTTGTTCGTCTCTGTGTGTGTGTCTGTCTGTTCGTCTCTCTCTCTCTCGCTTGCTCGCTATGTGTTCGACTTTGTCTCTCGCTAGTGTTCAACTCTCTCTCTCTCTCCTCTATTCCATTCTTTTTTCTTTTTTTCCCCCTCTCCCTCTCTCCTAACGTATCCCTGATCTATATACTTATATATTTTAACAAAAAAGCCTTTTTCTAGGGCTTCAATTCAACAGGTTCCTCTCTCTCTCTCTCTCTCTCGTAACGTGTCTCTCTCTGTCTCTCGTAACATGTCCCTATTTTATATATTTATATTTTTGAACAAAAACCTTATTTTCCCGCTCATTTCCTTTTTACTATTTTTTGAGTATTATTATTTGCTTAACATACATAGAATAAATTATTTTTATTTGTAGGAAAAAATTAATTTGTAAATGGTATTTGATATTAAAGTAAATAAATAATATATATTTTTTAATTTTACTTATAATAAATAAATAAAATTATATATATTAAGCGTGTCCCTAGCGTGCCATGCCCCCCGTTTTTTGAAAATTTGCGTGTCCATGTCCGTGCCTCATAGTTGTGTACTAATGAAGAAGGTACTGATGTTCTATGTATCTCCAAAACAACATTTTTGTTCGTACACACACTGCATCAGCTTTGCTTTTTAAGGCATGATGGTTGTATGTTCGTACGCATTTATTAATCTGATGTGGTCCACGCTTTCAACCCAAATGCACAAATTTCTAAAACCAATTCCATGGGTTCTAAAGGCCAAGTTCACAAGATAATAAAGTCTATGCACTTCAAAACTAAATTATCTATGATCATGAACTCAATAAAAATTAACCCAACTAAGAATTTAAAAAAAAAATAAAAAATAAAAAACAATATACATCATGTGCTAATGCAATGTATAATTGTTTTACCTTGCACAAAATCTGTCTATCTATTTGTTCTAGCCTTGACTCAAGTTTCCAATTTTGATCATTAACTACGGAGATTGCTCAAGAATCATCTAAGCTAAAATATTACTATTTCGAAGAAAGTTGCTGACACAAAATGATGAGGGGATACATGCATATATTTTCATTTTTTCTTGTAATATTAAGTTTTCTTTAAAAGTTTCATTCCATTCTAGCAGCTCAAGCCAAAGATGGGAATGGAAAATGTCATTTCGTTCCCATATCCAACATCATAGTCGAATAAGATAGACATTCTATTTCATTTCACCATGCTTTTCATTCGTATTGTCATTCCATTCTTGCAGACCAAATGTAGCCTCATTTCTATTGGAAGATTTTAAAGAATTGTCTCTAACTGTTGCAATGATCTTTCTTCAAAATTATATTGAACTCCCGTTTGTTTTAGCAACTTATCCTACTGTATCACAAGATCCTTTTTGTTCTTCTTTTATTTTCATCAATTGATCTAGCACACTTGTTGGAGTGCTTGCATTGCTTCATATATGTTCATGATGATTTATAAGATCAGCTATTAAAAAAAGAAAGAAAAAAAGAAAAAGGCAATATCTTTAATTTTTACAAAATATTTTCATTAATCAGGTGATATTTTTACTTTATTCTGCTTGTCAACAAGTATAATCTGTCAGGACAAAATGGTGATTAGATGTTGCACAAAAGCTTGGTGAGCTTGTGGGCTGACCAGAAATGGAAGAGCCATCTTAACTTAGCCGTATTCCAAGACTTCTGAAAATACACATCTTTCACGAGTCTTGATCCAAGAAGGACAAAGAAAAAAAATAAAAATAAAAAGAATCCCTTTATCTTGTTGTAACAAATGTAACACAAATTCACTAGGAAAGTGATAGGTTGTTAGAGGAATATCTTATTCTTGATTTGGATTTTATCAATTTTTTGTATGTGATTAGTTTTATGGTTGTTAGTTCAGCAATTGTCTCAAAAGTTTAAGCCGTTAGGAAATGGATCTAACAAATATATCATACTAGCATTCTCTCTCATGGGTGGCCCCGATGACAGGGATAATGGGGGTGATAACAAGACTTGAACCTAGGACTTCCTAGAACTAGAGTGCTTTGATATCATGTCAGATCACCAAATGTTCCAAAAGTTTAGGCTTTTAGGAAATGGACTTAACAATGTATATCACAATAACAATGGCTAAATTTTTAACTGATTAATTTTGTTTCATGTCTTTAACTTAGATATTAAGGTGGCAATTTCTTCATATAAACATAATAGCTGACCCTTTTTAGTGGGTAACTAATGTGTTGGAGCAGGCATTGATGCACCTGATGCTAAAATTTATATGTAATGATACTTCAGTTGTTTCTTGTGTATATCTAAGAAAGATGCATTTTGTCTAAATAAAGTAGAAAATAAAGATACCATTCCTCACCCTTCTTGCAGAGAAACTGGTAGCACCTGCAAGCACATTTAGGAAGCTAGATAGTTGAACCATATTGCTAGGTTGGTTGTCTGGTGGATTAGCAAATGGATCTTTAGACAATTGATATCCTTCACTAATTTTTGCTGGGAGAAGATGTTTCATTTTGGTTTTTAATTTGGAGGTCAGGTGCCACTTTTTGCTTAAGATTAATGATGCCTCTTTAAAGAGCAGAACTCTAATCAAATGTGGAGGACTGTATAGGAAGGATTGTCACCTATTGAGTTATGGAGTCCAATACCATTGGTGACATGCTCATCTATTTGGAGGAGTGATAAACTGATAAAGATGAGTTATCCTAGCAATCATATCATGATGATAAGATTTGTAAATCATCTTTTATAATGGGTTTTTCAATTAATGATCTCGGAGATTTGTTGAATGTTATTGTACAAAGTGGACATCAATTCTTTTTTCCTAGCCGTGCTGGTTTTTGTTGAAGATGTTGAACTAGTATATTTGATTCTTTAGTAAGTACATGTTATTGTACAAAGTGGTCATCAATTCTTTTTTCCTAGCCTTGTTGGTTTTTGTTGAAGGTGTTGAACTAGTATATTTTATTCTTTAGTAAGTACTTGCCTACAGAAATAAGTTTGATTTACAAAATTATAGGGTATAGTTGGAATCAGCATGTTCCTCTCGGGCAAGAGGATATTATGCTAGGGTAGGGACAATAATATAATACTGTAGAATTCAAAATTTGTCTATGGCTGTTATTATTATTTTTGGTTAGAAATCATAGTTTTTCTACCAGTTTGTGTGCATGTTCTATGTAGTATGCAACTCTTTCATCATCTAGGAAACTGAAGTTAAGTATAAAGCTTGCTTGAATTAGGAGTCCAAGTTTGTTGGAAAAGCTCTACATTCCAAGTTTGATTATTTAGGAGTTGTTTATAGGTCTTATATTCGGCGTTATGACTTATGACTAATTAGAAGCTTTGTCCTATTATTGTTTGATTGAGGATTTCAGTGTATTAAAGAAATGGATTGCGCGAGATCATCTAATGCTCTAGTTTCTTTTAGTGACCCTATGGCCTTCAAATTTATTATTATGTTCGCTTTGTTTTCAACACTTAACGTCCAATATTTGAGCAAAAGACTATCCTGCACTCTCTTGCATCTTAAGTAGTTATCAGAAACAGCTGTTGGTGGAGGAAGGCTGCTTGCGTTACGGTTGTTATCACAGTACACCAAGAGTGAAGGCTAAATCTTCATAGCTTCAATGATGACATGGTTTTTGTACCAGACTTGTTACTTTTGACTTAAATCTTGTGCACTGCAACAACTTGGCTTGCCTTAACAGATATCTGTCTAATGCATGGTTAAATAAATTGCAATTTTAATTGGCCTTAGGCAGTAAGCACTGTAATTTTCTCGAGGGCACATTCAATCTTAGGGCTTTAGCAATAAATTTTAACAACTTTTTTGTGGACTTCTTCCCCCTTTTAATGAACTTCAAAAAAAAAATATTAATTCAAAAAAACACATCATTCTTAGGTTCTACTACACTAGAAGCCTCAAAAAATAAAAATAAAACAAATCTGGAAAAAAGTTCACTAAATAAAGACCAAGAAAAAGAAGCAAAAGAGTTGTTTTTTTCGTCTTTAGTGAACTTTTTTGGGATTTTTTCAAAAAAAAATTTTACCTTATAGATCTTTCTAGACTTGAAGGATCTGAAGAGTAAAATTTTGACATAAATTTAAATTTTTTTGCACTAAAAACAAAAAAATTCGGAAAAAAAAAGTCTCTTTTTAACCTCTGCCAAACAGATAGTACCATAATGTTTATCACTGCTTACTCATGGATAATGTGGTAAAATATTGTGTTAGACAGTATGAATCCTTCTACCATGAAAGTGTTCATCCCCATTTTGCTGATCGGTGTTAGTAAATCTGTAGGTGATTGACATGTTGCTCTTCAAGGGGTTGGAAGAGCTTAACAACGTTGTGGAGCATGCGAAGCAGAGGCATCACATCATTGGCCAATATGTGGTCGGCCGCGGAGGGCTTGTGCAGGATTTGGGCATGAAGGATCAGGGCGCGTCCAACTTCTTAAAAAACTTCTACGACAGCAACTACTTTTGAACCTTGTTTGTGTCTGGGATGTGTCGCTTATGGACATGGGTATTTTTGCATTTGGCTTTAGAATTAGCAAATAATGACGCATTCTTTCGCATCTTGTTGGACAAAGATCTTTATTTCTTTAAAGGTCACTCATTGTGTTGGAACAAAGTGCTCATGAGTATGCCCGGTTGCTAGGGCACTATATTGAAGCAAGAAACCGGGCATGTTATTATCTTTTTTGATCATGTGATGGCCGTTATGTGGTGTTTATGTGAATCTCTGTAATGGAAATGTGGTGGCGGTTATTGTATACTATTTTTTTTGCGTCAATGGGTTATTGTATACTATACAAGCTTCAATTTTGGGTCATTTCCAGAAGAGAGACAGACTTGCCTTGGGTGGAGTCTGTGAGCTCTTCCTTGCAAGTTGGTATGGTGGTTGGCAAAACATCGCATTCACATTGATGCCCCATAAACTGAAAATTTATGCAAAATTGCATATAAAAATCATGTGGCGATGACTTTCTTAAAATTGCAGGTTGTATTGATAGTGTTTTGTGTGTGTAAAATGATAGGATTTATGACTGTCACAATTTTATGTAGGTATATTTATTATTTATATACTGCTACTTTTGACACAGTAAAAATAAGTGATGAGTAGCAATAAACATATGATGTATATAAAAATTTGTAGATGACAAAAGATGGTCATAGTTACTGTGTGGGGACAAATTTTGCACAGAGATGGAACTGTGGCCTGAAACTTGCTTCAAGCAATCCAATGGACAAAGGTGGCCAATAGGACAAAGAGCAATGAGTCTAGCCGACTGGTGTATGGCTAGACAACCCCTTCGTGCTTAAGTCAAATAGAAAGCAAGGTGTGAGAGTGACTAAGGTTTTGGAGTGCTTAGCTTATAAAGAAGATTCAATCTCCTTTTCTGCAGTTTTGCTTGCTTTCCCTCCAAGGTAGGTTTTCTCCACGTGTGGCGACTTCCTCACAGGCTCTCCCTGTTCAAATGATGGTGATCGACATAGGAAAATTCCAATTCTGTTGTTTAGAATATTTGAATTGATTCTCCTTCATTAGATGTACTAATAGGCAATTTCACTTGGCATTTTCTAACCTTCTGTTATTGAACTGGTGTCCTACTCTGGCTGAGTTTAACATAGTGGTCTCGGTTTGTGCTCAATCGGGTAGTGATTGAACCCGCCCCTTTTTAGGTTGTGTGGTCAGATTGGTCTCTGCCAATGACGAATGATCACTTTTGAGGGAAGAGTGCAGGCTTTTGGGATAATCGTGTAATGCAACAATGGTGGGTTTGGTGAGGCTGAACTGGGTGGCCAATAAGGGGCAGTGTGGCATGCAACTAGGTATGCAATTGCTTGTGGTTGATCAGTTGCCAGTAGCAGCCTTAAGCTGATGTATAGTAGTGAAAAGAAAAAAAAAAAGGAAGGAAAAGACAAAAGGATAAAATAGGAAAAGAAGAAAAGAAAAGAAAGAAAGAAAAAAAAGACAAAAAGAATAGGGGGGAAAAAAAAGAGCAAAGAGGAAATGAAAAGAAAAAGAAAACTCCCAAGGATTTGATGAATTTGTAAGGTAATTTACCATTGAGACAATAAGTCTTAAGTTTAAAATCTCTACCAGTCTCCTTATAGTCTTTGATTGAAATTGGGAGGATAAGTGGTGAGGTGCTCGACATCGTTATCCAAGTTGCGTTGGGGTTCTCGGGTTACCAAAAAATATAAAAGAAAAAATAAAGATAAAAATGAAGAAAGGAGCAAAGGAAAATGAGAACAAAAAAAAAAAAAAAAAAAAAAAGAAAAAAAAAAAAAAAAAAAAAAAAAAAAAATAGAGAAAGAAAAGAAAAAAATAAATGAAGAAAAAGAGGAGGGGGGATGTTTTGGAATAGCTCGGTGGTCACAAGGTTGTTTGTTTTCGGTTTATAAAAAATAAAAAACAAGTTTTGTTTCTATTTTGAAGGGAAAAAAAAAACAAGCGCACACACACAAAGTTTCAAATAATTGTTTAATAAATGAAAAAAAAAAGAACATGTTTAGTAAATTGTTAAAAGTACTTATGCACGTGAGCACATTTTAAGAACATTAATTTTTTTTACTTAAATTCTATTTTGATTTCTCTAGTTATAATTTTCACTTAAATTTAAAATTAATAAAGTGACTACATTAAAACATGAATTATTCTAATTAAAAAGATAAAAATCAAATTAATTAAAAAAATAAATTAATTAAAAGATGAAAAATGTAATATACCGATGAAATTAATCATCTCCAAATAATCAGTCATGTGAAATGGAACAAACAAACAAGCCTTAAGGGCTCTACTATAAAAAGGGGGACTGAACTAGGGTTGCAATCATCTATCCATTCCCTCTACCTCCGCAGCTCAACCCTAACTCCATAGCTTGCTGATCAGAGGTACGTTTCTTAAACCCTCTCTCACTCTCTCTCTCTCCCTCTCTCTCTCTCTCTCTCTCTCTGTCTGTATATATGTATGTATGTATATGTGTAATGATGTAATTGTACATGTACATATGTATGTATATGTAATGGTCAGATCGTGAGGTGGAGGAACTTGTGCTTGAGTTGCAGATCTGATCCGATTTCTCAATTTTTTAATCTCTTTTTGCTTCCATGATTTTTGTTATCTTACATATAGATGGATGAGAAACTAGGGTTTTGCTCTGTATGTTACTATGTTCTGTTACTAGGGTTTTCTTTTTCAATGTATGTGTATGTTTCTGTATATAGCTTGAAATTGAAGAATGCCTTTTTGTATTGATTCTTGTAATGACTGTTTAATTTTTTTGTGATTGTTAAAAAGATTGTTGTAGTGGCAATTCTGAGAACTAGTCATAATTGGACTTCGGTTTGCTCCAATTAATATCATTATATTGAGTGATTTACTCATTTTTGTTGCATTTTTTGTTTAGCAACTGTGGCAGCAATTAGCCTGGAAAAGATAATTATAAACCACATTTAGCTTATAATGTTTATTAGACTCATTGCCTATTTTATTTTTTTAATTTTATGAATTTGTTTGTGGTTGTAATTTACTTATGGTGCTGTGACATATGATGATTGGAACCTCATTTCTATTATTTTGCAAATGTGGTAAAATTAAACGCTTTGCTGATTTGATTGTGTAGAGATTGTTATGCATTTTTTACTCTCTAGTTCTCTTTATTATGCAGATGAATGTAGAGAAGCTTATGAAGATGGCCGGTGCGGTCCGCACCGGTGGAAAGGGTAGCATGAGAAGGTTTGTGTGTGTTTGCGACTTAATCTAGACTCTTTTTTATTTCATCAACTAATCAAAAGGTAAAGTATTGCTAAGAGCTGCCAATTTCTAAACTTTTTATTTAAATTAGCTTTTGAATTCAAAATGTTAATAAATGCTCAGCTCTATTATGTTACAAAATTCAAAATGAATGGAGCTCAGTAATCTTTAGAACAAATTATTTATGCTGCACTTTTACCGCTCGTTTTGTTCCTGATCATGATAAATTATTATTATTCTCTCTCCCTTACTGCCATTATTGTTATTTGTTGGAATTCGATTCTCTTATGTCAGATATTTGTCCGATGGCACAACCACTAAGGTTGTTGATTCCTGGTTTGGGTGACTTTCTTACATTTTTGTATTGATATATGTTGATAAGTGAGCATTTCATTACCAAAAAGAAAAAATATACAATGGAGCTCAGTACTGGCCCCAAATGGGCAACTTTAATTAGCAAATGAGCCTCTAGCTCCAAGAGTTATCAATTAACCCATATCTCTATGAAAAGAAAATTCTCACAACATGAGAGCTTAGGAAAAAACAAATATGGGAATTGTCTCACAACCCGAGATGCTAGGTAAGATTACCCCTATCACCTCTTACACGGGCCAACTTCAAGCTGTGGAGTTGGTTTTGTTTATTGATATATTCAGACCTAATAGCATATTTTTTGTGATATTGATCATACAGATTTATTATCAATGTAATGGTTTGAGTCATGTGAGTATAGGCCATGCATCATGTGGAGGGAATGGTTAGTTTTGTAATGGTGGAAGTGCACTGAGGTTATTCAATCCAGATGATATTAATTGCTGGGGATAATTTTTACATTTTACCTAATTTTTGTAGATTATATTGCTTGCAACATGTGGAGAAGTATTGTGGCTTTCGTTCTGGCTGATCGTTTTTGGTAGAAAATGAGCGTGTTTGATAAAATATACCTTGTGTTGGACTGTTTGGCTTATATATTTGTAGTATTTCATCTTGTGCTTTGAGCTTCTACTTCTTCGTACTGGCTTAATTATGACATATGCTTTCAACCACAGGAAGAAGAAGGCTGTCCACAAGACAACCACCACAGATGACAAAAGGCTTCAAAGCACACTGAAGAGAATAGGGGTAAATGCCATACCCGCAATTGAGGAAGTAAATATATTTAAGGATGACGTAGTTATCCAGTTCACAAATCCAAAAGGTAATTCAACTGTGGCAGTAAATCCCTGTTTTTTGGTCATTTAGTTTTTATTTTCTTGGGTAACTAATAAATAAGTATTGTTTCTCTTGAATATTTCAGTTCAAGCTTCTATTGCTGCCAACACTTGGGTTGTTAGTGGGTCTCCTCAAACAAAGAGTATATTTTCTTCTCTTTCAATTCTTCAATATAAAATATTATTATCGACATTTAATTGTCTGTTGACAACTTGGCTATCTGATGTTACAGTAGTGCACCTTTCTTGAAGAATCTGACTTTGGATGACTAATGCACTAGTTAATGCCTCCTGAACATGAAATACCAAATTCACTCATTAATACTTACAAAAAAAAGACAGTCACACATTGCCAAAAGTATTCATCGCCAAAAGGGCCTAGCTTTTGGCTTCTTTTAGTATTCTTAAGTTTGTCTTCACTGATACGTTTTCTTTGCCTGATATATTACTTGCAATGCTCACATTTCAGTAAATTAACTTCTGCAGGGTCTGTTAGTTCCTTGGTGATAACTTCAATTTTGTGGTTGATGTGTTGTGAACTTCTTTTGCCTCCAGTTTTGTTTTTATTTTATTTTTAAACTCAATTTACCAAATAGGCTGCCTAGACATATGAAGACAACCACCTGTGATGCCTTTTCTTCTGCTTCTATGTGAAGTAATAAATGTTGGTACTCTAGAAAACAGCAAGCAAAGGTCTTGGTTGGTACTTGATTTGGAAAGGTTTTAGGATCATTCTTTCCTCTTGAAGAACCAAAAGTAGCAGCTTATAGCACAAAGCTCCAAATCTTATGAGCCCAAATCAGTTATCTGGGGAAGGAGGAAGAAAGAAATCTCCAGGTTGCTGGAGAGCAATGGAAGGGATGCAATTGCGGATTTTCCAAATGTTCCAATATCTTATAAAGTTGTTTACCTTGTTATGCTTGAGGGTGAAACCATATGCTATTGATGGTCATTAAGGCCTCGTTTGGGAACATGCTAATTTAGTAACTTTTTGGCTATTTGGCTAAAAAGGTAGGTAAAAAAAACTTGTATGTTTGGGATGACTTTTTTGGCTAATTACGAAAAGATGTGCAAAAAGTAGAGAGAAAAGAGAATCTTTGACTTTTTGGTATGAGTTGACTTTTTGGCTAATTTAGTAACTTTTTGGCTAATTGGCTAAAAAAGTAAGTCTCCAAACGAGGCCTAAACCAACTATTGTTACTTATTGTTTTAGATTTTAGAGTGCCCAGATATTTAATTTAACCTTTGTTTTGTTTTCTATTGTTTTGCTTTTGTTTTCCAGAATTGCAAGATATTCTCCCTGGAATTATTAACCAATTGGGTAAATGCTGTTGTCCCTTTTATTGTCTTCATTTTGTATATCGAATAGATCAAGCATTAATATTATTAAATGTTGTTTGCTGTACCTGAATGAATGTTCAGAGCTCTGAAAAGGTTGTTTAGTTAGGTTGCATATATATGCTTTGCTTACTCTGGATTTTCTTTTTTCCAGGTCCGGATAATTTGGACAACTTGAGGAAGCTAGCAGAGCAGTTCCAGAAGCAGGCACCTGGTGGTCAGGGTGCCGGTGCAACTACGACTCAAGATGACGATGACGATGAGGTCCCGGAACTTGTGCCTGGTGAGACTTTTGAAGCAGCTGCAGAGGAGGAGGGCCATACCCATACTTAAGAGGGAGTTGTATATGAATTTTTGTGCAATTTCCATAATATTTTCATGGGTTTTTCGGATCTGGTTTGTATTTTTTTTGGTTGTTACATTTGATGTTTATTGTGACATACCAGAAAGTTGTTAGTTTGATGGGTAAAAACTCTTTTTACGTTTCAAAAAATCGGTTATCAGCTATCGATTATGATTATTAGGTTACATGTATTGGAACCCTAATGAATCAGCTGCCCAAAATGTTGAAACATCAAGGATCCCATATCTCAAACTTCCAAACTCGTTGAGATTGCATTAAATGAATGGCACGCAAGTATATATATAATAATACTACTGGTTGGGTTCTCAGTTTTGCATTTGTGCTATTAAATTTTTGAAAGATTCAAGTTAAGTGAAATGATATGCGAGCAGTGGCTGAAGAATTTGTAATGCGCACCACTTTTTGGGTACCCCAATAAGTGTTCGAAGTTAGGATCCATGTTGTAATTTTAACATTTTTATTACTTACAAGGTGATTGTATGACCTGATTGGGTTTGAGAAAGGATGATCAATGAGATTGTTTTTATATGGTGAGTAGGATTGGCTTTTTGACAGCTGTGACACTGCCTGACTTAGACATCTTTGGACTGCGCTTGTTGTCATGTGATCATTAGAGCTTTAAGGCACTTCCGCAATGGGCTTTGGTGCTTCGATTTTTCATTATTTGTAATTTGTATGTCTTAATGCGTGGAAAAATGTTAGAAATTTTAAATGTTTTACTAAACATTCTATCAAATGTCTTTGTGAGACTCACATTATATAAGTCTTGTATGGATTTTTCAGTTGGGTAAGATATTTGGTAGAACATTTGATAAAACATTTAGAATCCCTAATAATACTTTTCGCAGACATGTCTATTAATTAATGGGTAAAATGACTGTCAAAAATGGGTATAATGATACAGCTGAGGTCTGCTGCTGCCAAGGTATCTTGTGTCAATAGGAAACGTCTAAATATACCTAACGCATATTTTCAGTACTTATCACATGTATTGTAATTAATTATTGTATTTTACAAAATAAAATTGTGGAATAATTTTGAGAGGAATTGCAGAAAAATAGTTGAAATAAATGTAAAAATGTGAATAAAAATAATTATAGCAGAGGGATGGATATTTAAATATTCACTTTTTTGCCTCTCCCAGTTTTGCTGTCACCCTCTCAATCCGCTCTCTTCCTCTTCCCTTTCCCAACCTCTCCAACGGCCACCAACCCCTCCAAGCCCTTAGCCTATCCCCAACCTCTCCCCCACCACATGTTTAGAGAAACATTTCACCTTATTATGTAACCACGAGATTAATTTCTTATGACTTTCTCTTGATTCTTCCATGTTTCTCTGGTTCATCTTTATTAATGGCTTCGAGAGGCCTTTTTTTTTCCCCATATACGTCCTCTCACTACTTGCTTCATAGACATGGTAATTTCCTCTCTTTCTCAACTCCCCCTCTTCTTCCATATAACATTTTTCAAGTTCTCTGGCAAGACATCTTCAGCAGACCTATTCCACTCAAGCTCTTCTCTACGACTAAACCCTGTACATTCTCCAATTAGAATAGCCCAAAATATTCATGTTTGGTGGAATTGGGATAAGCAAGTAATCAAGCCAGTTTTGACACCAAGAGTAAGTTGATCATGCCCATATATATACACTACATAAGAGGCAAAGCTGTTTCACAACCGGATTGGCTATCCATCAAGATGTCCAACTCCCATGCATGTGGTATATCTCTGCATTTTCAAGTGTTGGGGATAGTAAGAGTTGTCGATTCTTGATTCCAAATAAATGAGAGAGGGAGGGCTATGTAAAAATAGTAAGCCCCCAAATGGAAGCAACTGCATTTTAATGTTGTCAATACATCGGCCAACTTGAGCACTGATTTTTGTGACATTAAATGCCATCACTATTATGAAAAAAATTAAACTATACAACAAGAATATGAACTGCACCAGTCAGTCAGGATGCATCATCAACATCATTATCGGCTACCTGTCTAGCAGAAATAACCCTATCTAAGGTTTCGTCTGGTACTGTGATTCCACTAGATTCCAAGTCTGCAACTATAGCAACTGCTGCATCAAGTTCCCCGAGATCAACGCACAACATGATTATTTCATCGTACAAAGGACTGCAGAAGATGAGAATACAATTCAGAAATGATATAGGAATAATATGAAGTTTTAGATGAAATTACGGATAAAATGAGATTTGGTGGGAAGGATAACGATAAACATGTTAAGTCAATGTATCTTGAGAAATCCCCAAACCCGAGATCCTATCCTATTGAGAAATTCCCAAACCCATTATACTGGTCGGGTATTTTGCCATCCCTAGTCATGGAAACTTGACTACTCCAGTCAGTCCTCTACCATGTATTCAAGTATTAAGATGTGACACTTGGACCCTTTACCTTAACAATTATATCCCTAATTGACACATGACAAAATTATTATGACATAACATTTGGCACTTCAAAGGCATGTACTGTTTTTCATTTTTTTTCTCTAAATAAGATGAAGACAGGATCATACATCTGTAGCCCAACACCAACAAACAAAATGGATGTCATCGCAACGGGGATTAAATTTTACCATATGTAGTTTGGTAACCAAATATTTTCAGGTTAGCAAAGAACACCACGCGGCTTTGATATTTGCACAAGTTGCAAAATTTCATATAGCTAGCATTTGTAATTTAATCATTTTGTGCTTTCCAGAAGTGCCAAAAAGTTCTAAGAGAAAATGGAACTTGTGGTTCATGCTAGAAGATTTTCTGGGGTGATCATATCAACATGTTAAAAATGCAAGGTGAATTTCAGTGACATTTTTAAATTTGAAAAAGCCAACATTGAAGTTTCTATCACATGAGGGAACTAGTTCATACCTCCCAAAGATATAACCAAGACTGTGTGACGTCTGCAAAATTTTCAAGAAAGCAGAAGGCATAGGAGTCCTTATAGCTGCACGCAGTATCATAGCACAATCCCCAATAGTTGGTGTTCCACCCAATTCTATTACCTGAAATATCAGTCTCTGTTTCATTCAGTTGCTAGATAACAAGTCGAGGTAGACCACAGAAATGAGTCTCATACTACATATTAAATGTAGCTAATTATGTCTCTCCCTAGGAAATGGGGTTCACAAGTAACACATCTATGAGGATGGCTTGTGATAACTAGACTAGTGTGTGTGTGTGTGTGTGTGTGTGTGTGTGTGTGTGTGTGTGTGTAATGACTCTAATTATAAGAAGGTCAAACATATTGAGGTTAATCATCACTTTGTACGCGGTATGGCAAGAAGGCATAAACTAGTACAACTAATGTCAAACTAAAATCAGTATATATGAACAAGCTGGGATGTCAATGCACAAGCTTTGAGGGGAGGGTTAAGAAATAAAATAGAAGGATAATGGAAAACTTGTGGTAATCAGTAATATCAAATAGAGTAGTCAGCCCTAGTTAGGCATAGCTCTCTCATTCATTTCATTTATTTTCTTCACTTCCCCCTTTACTCTCCTCTTTCTCTATTCAGTGATGTCAATCGACGCAGAGAAGGTCAGGATCAATAAGCAACAATGCTGTTAAAATAGTAGGGTTTGATGAACTATGCACAGAGATGCTGGTTGATGTCCAAACTGAAATAAATTATCTAGCTTAACAAAATAGCAGAAGTTGCGGAATAGGGTTGTTTTTTACACACAGCACTCAAACGCATGCTATTAGTTTTACAAAGGTCTGACATCCATTTCTCTGATAAGGTGCATCTCAAGATCTACAATAAGAGGCCAGGATGAAGAGTTCTTAGTCAACTTCAAGGAAGAAGAAAATAATGAACAATGGAGTGGCTACTGTTTATGATTGTCAACAGTATCAGTAAGACGTGAATATTAATCCACTGAAATAGATATTTACCCAGTAGGATACAATTCTAAGGAACAATAAAGAATAAAATAAAATAAAATTCCAAATAAATCATATACATGTCATATAATGAGAAGAAACTTTACTAGCATTGCATGATAAAAGACCAAGAAACCAAAAGATATGGAAACATGCCTTCAGCATTACTTTTACTGCTAACTCGACTTCCCATTGTTGCGACCATCTTTGAGGAGTTTTATTCTTGAGTTCTTTTTCCCATGTCCAACCCCAAGCATCAGCAATAGTGTACATATCAGATACATCAAACACTTTCCTGTTCCTCAACTCCTTAAATGCCTCATATATATCCTCTGGAAACCAGTCATCATCAGCATCATCCTGCATTCGTATGCAAGTGTTATTGCTCATATTAAACTTCCAAACCTGAACATAGCATCTAAAATCCGATTAAAGAAAGGGTTTAAGTGTCACGCAACAATAATGAGGCAAAATAGGAAACCAGATTTGGCATAAAAAATGAACCCACCGCCATTTTCAGGAGGTTAAAAAAGGAAATAGAAAAATGAACACATTAGTCTCATTTCAAAAGTGATTAGAAGGAATGAAATAAACATCCAAAACAGGCAATCTAAGAAGCATGGACACAGACACACGACACGACACGACACGGACACGTTGACACGTCAATTTTCAAAAAATATAGGACGCAACACATGAGGGACACCATAAAATATATAATTTTATATATTTATTATATGTTATATACATATAAACTCTGTTATCAGAATCTTACGATTCGCGATTCGATTCATAATTCGATTCACAATTTTTGTAAAATCAATACGAATCTATGGATGAATCTTTTTGGAAGTGAATCTCTAGTAAATCGCACGATTCACGATTCGATTCACTATTTAGAATTCATGCAATTTTTGAAACTATTGTGTCCGACATATTTTCGTCTCTTTTTTCTTCATCTTTTTAGTGAAAATGACATAATACAACTTCTAATAGCGTTTGAAACCAAAATAACCAACATATATATGATTTGTTATTATTTTAGTGATCATAGAGTTTTTAATAGGATCCAATCAGATTTAGTCAGACCCAACATATTTTTAACCTTTCTTCTCTTTTTTTTTTTCATTAAAAAATCATAATATATCTTTTAAAGATGTTTAAGATTAAGAGCTATAGATTGGCTAATAAGGAGGTCAAGAAAGTAATGAGAGAGGCTAAGTTGAAAGCTCATGATGACCTATACACTAGACTAGATAGTAAGGAGGGAGAGAAGAGGGTATACAAACTTGCTAAGATACGGGAGAAGAAAATAAGAAATTTTAATCAAGTTAAGTGCATCAAGAGTGAGAATTCTAAGGTATTAGTGAGGGATGAAGAGATTAAGGAAAGATGGAAGAACTATTTTGAGAAACTATAAAATGAGGAGCATGGAGGTACGGTAATAGAGGAAGAAATAGCCAGTAATACGATAAACCAAGACTATAGGTTCCATCGCAGGATTAGGAATTTTGAAGTGGAGATTGCACTTAAGAAGATAAAATCAAATAAGATTTTAGGACCAGATGATATCCCTATTGAAGCTTGGAAGTGTTTGGGTAAAAAAGGGTTGCTTGGTTGACTAGGTTGTTTAGCAAAATTTTGTTGACTAGGAACATGCCAGATGAGTGGAGGAAGAGTATTTTAGTCCCAATCAAGAAGAATAAAAGAGATGTCCAGAATTGCAACAACTATAGAGGAATCAAGCTAATGTGTCATACAATGAGAGTGTGGGAGAGAGTGATAGAACGCCGATTGCGAGATATAATAGAGGTGTTAGAGAATCAATTTGGATTTATGCCTGGCAGGTCAACAATGGAAGTGATATATCTTTTGAGGAGAGTTATAGAAAAGTATAGAGAAAAGAAAAGAGATATTCATATGGTGTTTATCGACCTGAGAAAGCATATGATAAAGTGTCCCAGGATATAATATGGTAGGTGTTAGCGAAGAAAGGGGTGACAAAAGGTTACATTAATATGATTAGGGACGTGTATGAAAGGGTGGTGACCACTATTAGATCGCCTGCTGGAGAAACAAATGAATTTCCTATCACTGTAGGGTTACACCAAGGATCTACCTTAAGTCCTTATCTTTTTGCTTTAGTTATGAATGAGTTGACGAGAAATATCCAGGATGACGTGCCATAGTGTATGCTTTTTGCTGATGATATAGTGCTAGTGGATGAGACTAGAGAAGGAGTTAATACAAAGTTGGAGATTTGGAGAAAAAATCTTGAATCTAAGTGGTTGTTTGGAATGATCTAAATAAATGCACTTTTTGACTTTTTATGAAATATGGGTTGGGTTTGAAGTGATGTGTTAGAGAGGTAATGTGACTTAAATAGGATAGTGACTTTTTGACTTTTTAACTTTTTTTAAACATGCCAAACCAACCCTAAAGGATTCCGGATAAGCTGAACTAAGACAGAATATATGGAGTGTAAATTTAGTAACAGTAACAGTAACAATGAAAGCAGAGGAGAAGTGAAGATTGAGAACCAAGAATTGCCTAAGAGTGAACATTTTCGTTATTTAGGGTTGATTATCACAATAGCGGGGGAGATTGATACGGATGTGGCCCATAGGATTAAGGCGGGATGATGTAAGTGGAGAAGTGCGTTTGGGGTACTGTGCGATAGATGAATACCCACTAGACTTAAAGGTAAGTTCTATAGAACGGCTATTAGACCAGCGATATGTTTGTTTAGGTAAAATCAAACCTTTTGTGAATGAATATCAATTCATTCCCTTTTATATTAATTAACATAACTTACAAGGAGAGCCCTGAGGCATGAAATCAGGAAACAGACAATTACAAATATATAAATGAATATTCTAACACTCCCCCTCAAGTTGGTGCGAAGATATCTCTCATCCCCAGCTTGTGAAAAATATCATGAAACGAGATATTCCCAACCCCCTTTGTAAGGATATCAGCGAGTGGTTCACCAGACTTCACAAATGGAGTACATATTGTGCCGCTAGTGAGTTTCTCCTTGATAAAGTGACGATCAATCTCAACATGCTTTGTCCTGTCATGTTGAACTGGATTGTGAGTTATGTTGATAGTAGCTTTATTATCACAATATAGTCGCATGGAATCCATTTGATCTATCCCCAGATCACTCAACAACAACTTGATCCATAAGAGCTCACACACACCTTGTGTCATGGCTCTAAACTCTGCCTCCGCACTAGATCGGGCAACCACATTCTGTTTCTTACTTCTCCAAGTAACCAGATTCCCTTCAACAAAGGTACAATACCCCGAAGTGGACCTCCTATCAGTTACTGATCCTGCCCAATCTGAATCCGTATAGGCTTCCACACTAAGATGATCGTGTTTGGAAAAATAAAAGCCCTTTCCAGGAGAAGATTTTAAGTATCTTAGAATCCTCATAACTGCCTCCAAGTGTATTGCATGAGGAGCATGCATGAATTGGCTAACTATACTAACTGCAATAGCGATATTAGGACGAAAATGGGATAAGTAAATGAGCTTACCCATTAACCGCTGATAACTCCCCCTATCAACAACTGCTCCTCTAATATCCTCACTCAATTTCTGGTTAGGCTCTAGAGGAGTGTCACAGGCTTTGCTTCCAAGCATCCCTATTTCTTTCAACGGGTCAAGGACATCTTACCCATTAACCGTTGATAACTCCCCCTATCAACAGCTGATCCTCCAATATCATCACTCAGTTTCTAGTTAGGCTCTAGAGGAGTGTCACAGGCTTTGCTTCCAAGCATCCCTGTTTCTTTCAACAGGTCAATGACATATTTTCTCTGACAGATGAAAATCCCATCCTTGGATCTGGCAACTTCAATACCCAAAAAATATTTCAGATTTCCCAAGTCTATAATCTCAAACTCACTTGCCAAATACTTCTTTAGTAGAGGAATTTCCTCAACATCATCCCCTGTAAGCACTATGTCATCCACATACACAATGAGAGCCGTCGTCTTACCATGGGAGGAATGTTTAACAAACAGAGTATGATCAGCCTGACTTTGTTTGAAACCATACTTCACCATCGCTTGAGTAAATCTCTCAAACCAAGCCCTTGGAGACTGTTTGAGACCGTATAGTGACTTTCGAAGTCGACATACCTTCCCCTTTGTCTGAAGATCTTCAAAACTGTCCATATACACCTCTTTTTCTAGGTCACCATAGAGGAAAGCATTCTTCACATCAAATTGGTGAAGTGGCTAATCCAAATTAGCTGTAAGAGAAAGGAGTACCCTGACAGAATTCATCTTCGCAACTAGAGCAAATGTCTCTTGATAGTCCACCCCATATGTCTGAGCAAAACCCTTTGCTACAAGTCAAGCCTTATAACGCTCAACTGAACCATCTGCCTTGTGCTTTACTGTATACACCCATTTGCATCCCACAGTTCGTTTGCCCCTAGGTAACTCAGTCAATTCCCAAGTGCCATTCTTACAAAGTGCTTTCATTTCCTCAATCATAGCAAGTTTCCATTCAGAGGTAGTGAGAGCATCCTGAAAATGATTAGGTATACTCATAGAAGAAATGTTGGACACAAAGGCTCCATATGAGGACGACAAATGAGAGTATGACACAAAATTAAAGATAGGATGTTGAGTTCAAGATCTCACACCCTTTCTCTTGGCAATAGGAATATCAAGATCAGTAGTGTCAGGAATAGCAATATCAGTAGACTCAAGAGAAACAATAGGGTCAAAGTTACCTGGACTCTTATCAGAAGTAGGGGATGGCAGTGGGTGAGCAGAAGTGGTCTCTTGTATCCAAGTAACTTTCTGTCTGTCTTTACCCCTAACATAAACTTGCCCTTCCCTGTCCTTGGTGGCATTAAAGTCTATAGTTTCAGCAATAGGTGGTGGATGAACAAATGATTCCACCATAGGAGGAACAGGGACAACAGGAACCTTTTCACACCAAAGCTCCCCCTGAAGGGATGACTGGGGCACCGGAGAAGACAAGAAATAAGACTGAGACTCAAAGAATGTGACATCCATGGACACAAACCACTTACGAGAAGGAGGATGATAACACTTATATCCCTTTTGAGTAGGGGAGTAGCCGAGGAAAACACACTTGAGAGAGCGAGGGTCCAACTTATCACGAGTAGGGGAATGATTGTGAACAAAACAGACACACCCAAAGATTTTTGGAGAAATGGAAAACAGAGACGCGGACCCAAAGAGAACCTGGAGAGGAGCCTTTTTATACAATACTAGAGTAGGAAGACGATTAATGAGATACGCAACAGTGAGAACGGCCTCGCCCCAATGGGACCGAGGCACACCCATAGAAAAACACATACACCGAGCCAT